AATATATATATATATATATATATATAAACTGACTTAACACCAGAAAATTTTATTTGCATTATGTACCCAATATTAAATTAAGTAACAACAGTATTAAAGTTATTTTACCTATCTACTATATTATGGGTTGTTTATAATTTGCCAGTATACAAAAGGTACACTTTTTATTGACCACCACTCCCCTGAAAGCATATATATAAAATGACAAAGATTTTTTTATAAGGAGATAGTAACTGGCATCTGTCATTATAAGCATAGCACTGGTAAACAGAAAACAAAAGAAGTGTTTAAGTGCACAAAATTTGCTGAAGTAGCTGTCAATCAATACCTTTGAAAGTTGTTTATTGATGGTAAAAAACGTCTTTTTAAAATTTTTTGAAAAGCAATACACACGCTCCACCCTACAGCATTCATTCTGTATGCTTAGGAAAATTATGATATAATGATTAATGATATAATAATTATGATATAACTTAATAATGATACTTTGAAAATAATGTATTTGCATGAATTTAAGTTTACGAACAATTCTTTGCTAATTGAAAAAAACATAATTTGGGTGTGTAATGTCATATGTAAAGTGTATATGTCTGTTAGGTACGAAGAGTTTTCATAAAAAATTTGGTTTAAAATATCAGAAAAAAAAACACCCAAAAAAACTGATAAATGTACTGAAGGATGATTAGTACATGTATTTAAATGTATGTTACCATGTAAGAATGACCTGTGAAAAATCTGGATATAAACTTCTACAAATTTTAGTTAATATTATAAACAATCTTTTAATACAATTGTAGCTTTCACCACAATCAACAAATTTACAATGCAACTAAAAGTTAACAGATGCCTATAACAAGTTTTAATTCTAAAATGTTTCTTTTTATCTTTATTTTTAGTTATCTGGACTAGAATAAGATGTCACCTTTATAACTAGACTGTATCTTTCAAAGATTTGGATTAAAATGATTAACACACCATGTCAAGACTGTACTGTTACTATAAATAATCATTCCAAAATATACTCTATCTAACAGCTGGAAAAAAGTTTGTTTTTTAATACTAATAAATGATGTTAAATTACTGTAAGCAATAAAGTATAATAAAGGTCCCAAAGTTTGAGTTACTGAATAAATAAAAGGATTTAACATTATTATTTGAGTGCATTTTCAACTCATACCAACCTTAGTAAGTGAACATCCAAGTTACAAGTTCTGAACTGTGTAGTTCAGTAGAACTTTCTCTTTCTTTACACACTTTTGAAGTAGAGGTAGGTTGGTAACTAGAATTATGGCCACAAATACATTATTTCTATAGATCTCACCATTTACAGAGCAATGCTTTTGATGTGCCAAAAAACATGATCAAATCTACTCTATATTTAAAACAAAAGTTAACGTTTTAGAAAAACTGAACAAAAATGATGTTATTCCAGATGAACTGATTAACATTTCTCAATAGTTAAGTTTCTGGATTAAATACAATAATAATAATAATAATAATGAGTGATTGATTGTAATTGATTTCCACTCTATAAAACATGATAACAATTAGCATTCATCCACCAAATAACATGCTAGCTTCATGAGAGGGCAAAATCTAGTTTATAACCCAAATAATATGACATTTAATTTTCCACACAACTTTACAACAGAGTTAAGGAAAATATTTACATAATATAAGGAGCTAAAAAGAACGAGTTTAAAACACTTACTAATCTGTAGATTAGACAGAAGAAGTACACCAATTCTAAACATTTCCAATAATAAATCTAAAATACAGCTAATCTTGTACATTTTTAGTTGGTAGCAATCAGTACCATTATCAAATAATTTTAGTTTGTCATTATATAACAGCAGCAAAGGTACACAGACAGTAAAGGTATGTAATTTTTCTTAAAGTAAAAAGAAACTGACAGTACATGAGAATTTTCTTTGACTTATAAAAGAAACTATTTTAAAAGGTACAAGTCATTTACAATGATAACACTAACAACTCATTTTTCTACATAATGGAGCTTTGTGATTAAACTTAATGATAGATAAAGAGACAAATACACACTCACAAAAAGATTGAGAGTCCTGGCTCGTTGTATTTACCTGTTTCAACTTTATATGTTGCTAATTCTTCACACAAAAAGGATAAAAAATACTTCTACTCAATAAACCATCAGTTTAAGCATATTATTCATACATCAAAACTGTTCACTTTCAACTTGATTTTATAACTGTAAGCAATTATTGTAAAAATTAGAAAGGTTAAAGCCAATTACTAATCTCATGGTATAAACAGTTATAGTATAAATAGTGAATTATAGTAAATTTTTATGGACAATTGGTAGTCTATAATAATGCTTAGCCTGTTGTTCACATTTGAAAGAGAATGCACAAATTTACAATTGTATTCATAAATAGGCTAGGCAAAAGAAGGCTATTTATGATCAGAAAACTCACACTAATCACACAGTTATTCTAGACAATGTTCATGCTCACTTATATTCCACTTACAGATATGCTTGTGTTCTTCAGTGATACTGATGTTACACTCCATATGAATCAGCAGATCAATTCCTGCGATTGTTTTTCAACTATCAAAGTAAAGTCTGCTCTCTTTTCTAAGAGAATACCACAGTTTCCATTATAGCAACAACAAAAATTACCAGCAGTAACTGTTAAAAATCAGTGAACTCCTTAGCACACTTTTCTGCAGATGATATGTGCAAAGCTTCTTCTTCATAGTCATCAAAATTGCTTGTATCCTCTGGTCCTTTGCATTTAGGTAAAAAAGGTGCTTCCAGCTAAATTATGAAATGAGCAGGTTTGTATATTATATTATTCCAATAACTAAAATTCATAAGAAACAAGTATTTTGAAATAATGATATATAAATACTACAGAAACAGAGAAACAGTGTGAGAAAGTTAAAATATATATGTATACAGTACGAAGGATTACCTGCCAGAAAAACCTGTCAAACATATACCATTTTAATGAAATTACACGAGTCTTTAAGTCTGTTGTTCTGCTATATTCTCCTTGCAGTGCTATAGTCGTATGGCTGCATTGCATTCTGGATGATAAAAAGATTTGAACTTGTGCTAGTAGTTCTGGATTTACAAAACTTACAGATGAATAATTTATGTTGTTAACCCATTAACTGCAGATGATGGATATTTCCGTCATTGAAGTTCTATGGCTCGGCTGCGAATGATGGAAATATCCGTCAGTCGCACATATATAACTATAACTCTATGCGAATGACGAAAATTACCGTTTTATTGTGATTGATGGCAACTCAGTTTTATCTGTGAGTCAGAAAACGGCAACTGAGCTGCTCCTGCCGCAGTTAATGGGTTAATCTCTGTTTATAAACCAATCTTTTGTTTTTCATTTCAAAATTCAGAAACAGATATCAGCTATCTGTTAGTACCAACAATCCAGAAACAACCAATAACAATTAAGCTTTTGTCACCCACCATGAAATAATCATGCACAGGGGGTAGCACCATAGTTTCACAAGAGAATAAGGTAAAAACTACAGACCCAAATAAAATTTATGAGTATACAGAAACAATTTCTTTTCTAACTTTACTAAGAACTCTGTTCATTCAACTCTTGAACTATTGTGAAAACAATAGCAGATCTTTTAGCTAAATTCTTCATTTCTCCTCTTGTGTGAAAAGTTAATGCCCAAGAACCCCAAAGTTATCATGTGGCTTAAGAAAAATTACTTTACTATATTTCTAAAGAATAATATATTAATCTGAACAGAACTTTAAATTTTATATCATAAATAAATAAAGTACAAGTATAATATGTGTAACAAAAATTTAACTTAATTTAGTCTTAGGGTAGGACGTAATGTTTAATAAATGGATGTCTGTACACATTTTAAATCTTATTCTGTTTTTTCACTTATACAAATAAGTTTCATCATCAAACAAAAGCAGGGAAACTTTTATTATAAGGATGAAAATTTACATAGGAAAGCCCCAATTTCCCCATTTATAAATAAGGGGTACAACCAGAAAGAAAACTTCTCAAACTTTAATATTAACAAACAAGATACTTCATGGAGCTGTATGTTTGTAGCAAGATAACTGAAATCTTTAATAATTTATCAACTCAATATGGTGTTCCATATCTTATAGCTAGGATGCAACATTATGCAAGGTGTTTGCTGAAGACATTTACTATTCAGCCATTTAACAAAGTTATGCTCTGGTATTTAGTAGCTGTGTGAGATTAAATTTTGGAAAATGTTAAATAATAACACAAGTTCACTTCCTCTCATATTTTTAACATGTAACATATGCTATGCATAAAACAAGCACATACTGTTTTCTAGTGTTAATAAGCATTAATGAATATTTAGGTAAAAATAAAATTAATATTTTATTTAATATACAAGTAACAAAATATTTTACAATATTATAACACATGAAATACTACTTACAGCAAGTCTTAGACATACAACATATGTAGGCATATCATATTCAGTCCTACATATAAGGTCATACAAAACCATACCTTAACTTGGTGTTGAAGTTTAATTTTTTCTCTGTTGTATAATATTTATACAAACTTTCCTTACTGTTTTTAGTTTATGAAGGTATTTTATCTTCACTTTACACTTCTGGGTGGAATTCTGAATTTAAGACGTATTGAAAATAGAACAGTAGATACTTTAAAAGCCAGAAACTAAATAGGAAATACAATAACAGCAGCAAAAGGCCCCTTTTCACTTTCTAGCATAAATACTGTAAATATGTATTCATATTGACAATAAAGCCTGTTTCAGTGTATTCTGGTTTTTATGTCTGTGTTAAATTTTAATGAAAACACCACTGAAGTGAGTACATAAATCTAAACAAATGACTTAAGTGGTTATATTTTTTGGGTTTTTTTTTCCCCTACCTATTAGTCAGGCCAAGACACAGTATCACAGTTAAAAGCTCTCTCTCTATATATATATACATAAAGCACAAAAATCTGTGTGTGTGTCTGTTTGTTATCTTACTACTCCTAGGTCGTTGGGCCAATCTCAAACAAACTTTATGGTTTGAAATTTTGGAACAAAAGGCATTTTAATGAGGGGATTCAGAAACCCCTCCTCCTCTAACTATTGCTGTTATTGAGTATTAATAATCTTTGACATAAGTAAACTACATTCACAAATGGTGCCATGTCCTTACACCAAACAAACGAAAAAAAATTATTAAATTTTCTATAACACAACATATACAAAGTGTGGGGGGAGGTCACACAAAAGTTTTATATATCTCGGAGAGTGTGTTAGCACTCTCTACAGAGGAATGCAATGAAAAAAAATGGTTACCACTATTGCAATAATACATCAACTCAGATGAAGTTTCTATTACAACAGTTACCATAATGCTGATATGAAGAGCTGTTTCTCAAGTTATATCCACTTCCTACTTTGACCTGTGACCTTACAACTTCATTCTGCAAGACACTTCTGCAGCCAATCACTGTCAATTAATTAATAACGTGAAACAGTGTGGAAGGATATTAAGAAACTGATGTTGAAAGTGGGTAACAGAAAGCACCCCTACTTCTTCGTACACATTCACCCTATGTCCAATGCCTATGTAAACTACTTGTACAAAACGATGACATAATCTTGTTGAAGCGTAATTTATAATAGTTTTCTTCATTACCCATTCAAGCTATCTCCAGACTTTTATTTACATATTATGAAGTTCCTATAATGTAATAGTGAATTATTTCAGATCCCATAAGTAAATGATCCTTAGCAATTACATTTTTTGTTCTTGTAAAATGTTTATAGCAAACACAGGCTGTACAACTTGATTCTATTAACACTTAATATAATTTGTAAAATAATCATCAATAAAAATGCTGGATGCATCAAAAAATGCTAAAAAATCAGATTTTATATGAAATTTTTTATTTAAAATAAAAACAAGCAAAGAATGACTATGTTCAAACACAAAGTTAATGACTAGATCTGAAAGTCTGAAAACCATCTGACATGTGGATTTCTATTAATGATATCTCTCCAAAACTGTGTACACTGTGAAAATATGAGCTTCCCGAGAGTCTATTGTGTATTACTCTTCATTACACATATGTTCTCATGAAAAAAATATGTAAATCTATGCTATTATACAGCATGTACCATTATCTACAATCTACATTACAACTCATATTATATTTAAGCAAATAGTTTGTGTCATTAAGAACTAATCTGCAACAAAAAAGTTGGTAAATTAACATATCTCAAACAAAATTAGCCACAAGATTAAGGGAAAAAAAAAGAACAAATTGAGCCAAACATTAATAACAACCTGATACTGGTGAGGTTAGTTAGAAAAGGAGCAATTAGAATGATTCAAACTCGGCTTCATAAGCACTGGTCAAGGTGCGATGGAAAAGGGTTTTGCTCTCTTCGTACTTTTCAAAATGACGAGTATCTCCTCGATGGGTTATCTTAGGAATAAGTGGTGCTTTCTCCTGGTTGAAGGATCATGCAAAAACAATGCAACAAAGAAATAGGGAAAGAAAACAACATGCAAAAGAGAATAATTTAGATGTAGATTGAGTAAAATATGAAACAAGAGCTAATACACTAAGATTACAAACAGCAAATGTTGCAGACTAAGTGAAATGTTCAGAACTTTAGAATGAACAATCTTATATTCTACAAAAATTAAAAACAACATGCTTGTCATCTAAGCTATATATTTTTTTTTATAAATTGAATAAATAATATTAATGATGCACATAAAAAAGTGAAGTTAAATTGTGTAACCATTTAATAGCAGATCAGCAACAAAATGTTATGAATTAATATGCAATAAAAAGACAAGCAGATTCATTATTCAATGCTAAATATAGAGAAGCATATAAAAAAAATCAAATTCCTTGCCTGCTTGGTAACCAATTAAAACAATTGGTGTAATAACAAATTATAAGTCTGCAAAAAACAAAATTCTTACATTTAGTTGTTTTTTTAACATTAAAGAAACTATGAAGAGTAGAGAAAAAATTCCTTCATACAAAAAACTAACTGAGAATTGAAAATCCACCTATCTAAAATATGGCATCAAAATGCTTTCTGAAGTCATGGAATAGAGCTATGTTATATATTGATTTAAATACTTTTCACGTGTATCTGTTATGAAAACATATTTGGGAAAACTACTGAGCATGTGATTTAATTCATTTCTGGATTAGCATAGTACTATCAAGCCACTCTTTTATATTTATATGCTGTATATTTGTTAGTCTTTTATTTATGAGAAATGCTTAGAATAAAACAATGTCTTAGCATTTTCTGGGTGTATTTCTTGTTGTTATTAAAATACCAAACTCTGTAAAAACTGCTTGTCTTCATGTTTTTATTTTACTAGGTTTTTTTAATGTGCTTTATCTCACTACTTCCTACCCCAGTTAAACACCAAAATCATTTCTAGATCTGCAACTGGCAAATAGAAATTTGGTGAGGTACACCACTTTAACACCAGTTAACATGGCAAGTAAGAGTTAGAAGATCACTGAGATTTAGCAGCTATTTGCCATACAATTAGAGCAAAAGCTTTCTTAATATAAGGAAAACTGTGAAAGTATTTTTTTTGCTCAAAAAGAAACTTACATTTTTTTTTATATTAGTTGTTTCACTGATACTTTCTTAAATATATTTATTTTAGATATTCATGCAAACCTACAGATGGGCTATCTGCATTAACTGCCACTAATTTTGATGAGAACAGAGGGAAGGCAGCTAGTAAACAACACACACTGCAAACTCTTGGGCTACTCTAATGAAATAGTGGGATTTGACTGTCACTCTTATAATGCACCCATTGCTTCAAAGTGCAGGGAGTAATTTTGTGGCAATAAGACATGAAACATGGATCCTCAGATTCACAGTTCCCTCTAAATACCTTTTACATATGAAGGTACTCTATTACCAATTTTGTGAACAAATTATCCCATAATTTATGTGTCTTTGCAAAACTTATTATAGAACTAAGCATTACCAAAAAGAAAATCTTTATTAATTTTCAATAAATGTGTATTAACAAAGAATACATAAACCTTTAATACACTGTGAGTAGCCGCAACTTATAAATGAATAATGACAGAATTAGCAGTAATAAAGAAATGAAATGTACACCTTTTAGTTTCTAAAGTAGCAATATATTGTTTAATACAAATAAAGGGTAATACTCCACATAGTTAAGGATGGCTGATAATGTGACCAGGAAGGCAAGTAATGTGTTATAATATGCAAGGTTTAGGTAAAAAAAACCATGTAAAGTGTGAATAAGAAAATCTAATAAAAATATTTCTTGTGAAAATTTGATGAGATTATACAGTTGATACATCACAAGCTTGAAGATGAGCATATCATCACCTGCTTTATCTTAAAGTTCTATTGTTACTTGTTCAAAGTTATATTCACAGGTAATATATCAAATGTTATGTGAACACCATGAACTTTTAAAGTGAGAAAACTAATAAATAAATAACAACTACAAAAAACCTGCACTAATAAAAACAGTTATTGTATAAGTGTAAGCAGTAATATCTTATACAAATAAATATAATTCTATATCTATCAATAAATGACATGATGCCTGCTATTTTTCATGTCACACTAGATTTAGAAAGAATGAGAACAATATAATTAAAGCATTATTACATTTATTAGAAATAATTATGTCACAAAGTGTCGCAGACTTTCATTCCATGACACCACTGTAACTGTAACCTCTGATGACCCCCTTTGCTATGGATACCCACAATGCTTTGATTGGTCTCTCGATAACTATCAATTGGCCCAGGGATCTGACATATGTGAACTATATTATTGAAATTATTTTGATAAAGTATTTTTAATACACATCACAGCTTCCAGATACATTTTAAGTTAAAAATCTCAACCAGTTGTGCCTATCTTGGTTTTATTATGAATGTATAGTACAATATAAAAAATCATACACATGCCCACACAAAACTATTGAAAACATATTTTTTTAAATCTGCATTTTAAATATAAAGAGCTTTATAATAATAATAAAAAAAATAGAGAATCAGCTTCTCCAAGTTTAAAACAAATATAATTTATATTTGAAAGCCAATCTTAAACTGGGACTAAAACATTACCTTCTTTTGATAAATAGCTATCCAGTCTGTTGAAGCAAACCATTTTTGATTTTTGATATCATTAACACCATTTCTGAGGTTTCCATACCTCTTGGTGAGGTCCACTTGAAGGAGACTTTTCAATAACTCTTTCAAGTCTTGTGAGAAGTGTGAGGGGTAACGAACCTAGAAGTTTATGGAGATAAAATAAATCTATATATACATAAAGAAATCATAGAAACTAAGAATTATAAAAAGGACAATAAAAGTCTCTGTGAAATTATATCCTGAAGAATGACCCTTTGAGTCACAAAACCGATTGAAGAAATTAATAAAGGAGAGAAAAATAGAAGAATATAATATTCAGTGGTTTTTTTTTGTTCGTATCCACAGGGGGAAACTTGTGTGTGTGAGTGTATATATATATAAATACAAAGTAATCAACTGCATTACTACATAATTTGACAGAATTTTTAAACACACTGAAACACAAAAGAAATATTTTACTTAAATCAACAAATAGGCCTGAGACTTTATGGAAAGTTAGAATAATTAAAAGAAGATGAGGTCTTTACAGACTATTATAATGCTAGTTATTGATTAGTATTACTTTTCTGGGTGTAGTGTAGAGACAGAAGTTCAAAGCCATTTCAAATTATAAACTTATGAAAATGAGAACTCAACTTCATACTTAAAAGTCTTGTGGTTGTAGTTATCATAAAGAAACCCATGTATAAATAAAATTAAATAAAAATGAACAAAATTTCACCTGTCCCGAGACAATTTTTTCATAAATTTCTATAGGTTGGTCTGCAAAGAAAGGTGGGTAGCCAGCAGCCATTTCGTAGATGAGAATACCCAATGCCCACCAGTCCACTGCTTTATTATAACCCTACACAAAGAAAATTATGAAACATACACATCATGAAAATAATATTTCTTTTCATTGTCATAATCAGATATCACAACACAGAATTATGTCAATAAGTACTACATTTACTGTGTTGTTTAAATTATATTTGTTATTTCTAAAAATAGGACTGCTTATTGGAAACTACAGAACAAAAAATTGAAAAGTAAGATGTGTTGAATCTTTTCTGTCACTTTTCCAGACAGATATCCTTCTTGATTATGTTGCATACTGTTGCCTGAGACAGTGAATGTTGTACACTGTTGCCCTCATAAAGATAGGTTCAGATAATGGAATTAAATTTTCAAAAATGGGTATATCCCTTGTACTTAATAAGATTGAAAAACAAAGGAATGTGGGACATCAGGACCATTCACAAGCTATTTCCCAATTGTAGTAAGTAAAGTTGTTGTTATGTAGCAGGTGAGATTCCTTGAACACAAAGGTCATTAGCAAAAGTCATCCACTGTCTTTACAAGTGTACGACTATTTGGTGTCAGAAAAGACCATTAAATACCCTTCCCAAAAGTAATTAGTTTTAAATGGCATCACACTTCCACCAATACTTTGAATTTGCTTTGTTGTCATGACTTTCTGATCTGTTTATTCAAAATCATTTTAATATATGTATTCAACCCTATGTAGCAATCAATAAAATGGTTCTAATAAGAATTAGTAAAATAAACTTTGTTAAAAAATGTATTTTAAATTTAATGTTATCATTAATAGGATGTTGCTGGCTATGAGGAGGATTCTGTTGCTTTATAAAAGAATTTAGATCAGTTGGCGAGTTGTGTAACTAACTGGCAGATGACTGTTAATTATAATCAACGCAAGAGAATGCATGTAGGTTATCATACTTTAATTTTTAAGTCTGATGGAGAAGGCCTTAACAGTTTTATGGAAGAAATTAATCTTGATGTTTTGGTTGATCAGTGTCTTAAGCCCTTTTGTTAGTGGTAAACAAATAAGATTTTGGGTTGTATATACAGAAATACTGAACATAGATCCAAAGAGGCTATAAATTATTGTATAGGTCACTGGTTAGGCCTCATTTGAGCACTGTATTTAGTTTTAGGCTCCTTACCTTAAGAAAGACATCGAATTGTTGAAAATAATTCAAAAGAAGATTAGTAAGATGATATCTGGGAAGGACAAGTTGTCTGTCATATGGTGACAGGTTAAGATTTGAAAAATGAAGAGTTATAGGGGATCTAATTGTGGTGTTCTAGATTATTAAAGAATTATCAAGTGTTGATACATCACCTTATTATGCAGTAAATTTAAGGAAAGGAACAATATATATTTAAATGATCAGGGTTGACACAAATTATTTTTCTCTAAGTAGACTGGACAGCTTCAGTGGACTAACAGACCCCTTGTTGTCCTTAAAGACTATGTTTATATATGTTTATGCAAAATCTTCAAAAATTATTTTTTCATCAATTTTAAAACTGTTTCAGATATCATTTTATAGATAACGTAAGGAGTCTTCATAATGAACAAAGTTGAAATGGGCAGCAAATGCTTAGTTCAGAGCAACACTTTAGGAAAAAGTCTTAGACGACTAAGCTACAAAAGTGGCTCAGGTGGAAAGGATGATGCTTTGAAAGACTTCTATCTTCAGATATTCCAACCAATTCTAATAATTTTGTTCTTAATGATGAACAAGAAATAAAACTGGCTTTCTTACGTTTACTTACAATTTACTTTATTCACAGGAGCTATCAAGTAAGTATCATAAGATTCAACAATAAATAAAATGTGCAGCTGTTATTAAAAAAAGTGTTTTAATAAAATGAATATAAAAAAATGACATTTTGAATAAATAAATCCTTGAAGCAAAAGAATTATAAAGTGTATTAAAAATACAACTTTGTCCTATATTCATATTTAAAGTGATTTTTACTTCCCATCAAGAAATAAAACGAATAAAGCTATAGCAAGTAGCAAAAAAGTAGAGAACACCCCAAATTAGCAAAAATCTATCTTCTCTGCTGTTTAGATTCACCCTACATAGAAGGTGATTCAATGTTGTCAAAAATGTAAGTTATTTAGAGGTAACACTAATAAAAAATGTAGCTTACATTTATGAAAGAATACACGTACCCTTACAATTTGAAATTGTAGTTATGGGAAACTTTTTAAAATTAATTGAGATTATCATGCTAGGCAACAAATAAGTAGAGCCGATGGAGGAATTTACCTTACTGAGTATAATTTCAGGTGCTAAGTACTCAGGGGTCCCACATAACGTCCATGTTCTGCCTTTCACTCTCTTGGCAAACCCAAAATCAGTCACCTTTAAATGATAACAGAAACAAAACTGAGCTACTTTCATTTCTACAGTAAATACACATAGACCTTATATCCAGAATGCTCTCAAGACAGAAATTGTGTATGTAAAAATAGCCTAGTAAAATTTCCAATTAGAGTTTAAAAAATTAAGAATAGAAATAAAAATAATGAGCTACTGATAAAACAGTAGATGGATAGATACAACTGCTATTTGTCTAACTAAGTTATGAAAATCAATAGGTTTATAAAACTGGCCAAAATTTAAGGAATTAACTAAAAACTCAACAGTTTTAAGTGGATAAAATTAGATTTATTTAAAATAGTACGTCCAACATTTCACGAGCAAATGTGGCCATCATCAGGTACAGGATTACACAATGTTAATTTGTCAGTTCAACTGCAATGTGTGGCTTTTGTTATTTTATTGATTGTGTACTGACAATTTTATAACCTTAATGAGATTCAGAAAATTAAGTATACATTTTTTAAAGTATACAGAAAGAATAATGAACATTTATTTGGTTAAGAAGATAGCATAAATACTCAGAATTCATATCCCGTAAAACAAGTTTTTACAGCCTTAATCTTACCTTAATGTATCCTTGTTGGTCTATGAGTATATTTTCTGGTTTCAAGTCTCTGTATATAAGATCTAGTGAATGGAGGTACTGGAAAGCTAGCACTATTTGTGCAGCATAAAATCTTGAATGAGCTTCACTGAAAACAGCATAATGTATAAAGATATTTTATTAAGAATATGATAATATGTATCAAAATGGGTATATGAAATCAATAATAAATGTATTTTGATACAGATTCCATTTTGTCTGCCAAAAAGAAAATTATAATATGTTGAAAGAGTATGATGAGAATCACACAAGTTGTAAAGTATCAGAATTTATTCAGATATCAAACATTAAGTAACTTAATTGTACTTAACTTCACTAATTTTGTTTTTGTCTAAAATTTTATGGAGTTTGATACAAGCTATCATATTTTGCAATTTATTGCAACAGAACTGCTACAGAGTTTAGAATTTAAGTAAAATTCTATGTGGAAAACAAGTGTCTTGGGATGTACATCTACAATGTTTTTTTACTGTGCTGGTAATGTGGGTGAAGGATGATTTGTGTGGAATCAACCAGGCTAAGCCTAAGCTTATAAACAATTACTGTATCAGTAAGCAAAGCAAACTTAATATACAATATAACTTCCCAGAATAAAGTGCAATTAAATATGTTTCAGTCTACATTTAATGGTTTGCTTTCAGTTTTTTGGTATTTTCCACCTAAATGGCATCTTATGTCACATATCATAAATGGGGGAAACAACCAAGTCATAGACACCAAATGTTCAGGCATAGCTCCTTCTGTAACTATTTTGAACTGCTGACTAGGAGGAAAAAAAAATTAGTTAGCAGTTAAGTGAATAGTGGGATTAACTGTTACATACAGCACTCAACTAAAACTGAAAGTTTGGGGTATGTTCAGCAGTATATCAAGATTTCCACCCTAGCACATTAAACAATAGATTATGCCCAGTCCAGATTATAATTGGTACAGGATATAAAACATTTTATAAATTATATTATTCAAAGAATTCAATGAAATGAAAGCATAGTTGTTGTTGTTTTATCAACTCGTGAATTTTGCAGTACAGTTTTTAAAAACCTAGAGAAATAGCTGCTAAACCAATAAGTTGCTAACTACTTCTTATGTCACATCTCATTTTCTACTGGAAAGTTATAAGAAATTCTCTCCCATAAGTGATGCTAAGAACTTATGAATGAAAGCAAAGAAGAATGCATAATAATATTTCAACAACATTAACATCTGCCATATCCTGTGCTGTTCAGGGCACGTCAGGCCAGCTGGGATATGAAAGACACACTAGTGATGAAGAATGCTATTGATATCATTAATGAACGGTGTGAACTAGATTACATTTGTAAAGCATAATTATCGTCCAATTTATTTAAATCATTTATAAATCAGACTTTGGTAATGATTAATAAAACAATATTATTTATTTTTATAATAACATCAATTATTTATTGTTATTTTTTACTTAAATTAAGTTTACTATCATTCAGAAAAACTGGAGAATCAGCAAACTAGTATTTTTTTATTCGCAAAGGAAGTCAGGCAACCACAGAGTTAATGTTTAATTCTTTTTTTTAATATAAGTTGAGAAATAGCACAGTAAGTAAACTTCTTTGAAGTTAGACAAATTCTTAAAAGCTGCTTTATGAATTTAATTATGAATACATCATTACATGTGGGTATGTCCTATTTGTCAATAAAATATGGGAAAAATAAACAAATAACCACATCTGAAAGTTTATGAACATGAAATCTAATGTGTATTCTACAGAAAGAAAATCAAATTTTCAGTCTTTTTACCTAGTTCTAATTAATATATATACTATCACACAATATTTTGATATTAAACTGAAAATTGCTTGGTCATTGTTAAGATCATACAGGATAACAAAATCTAACTTATATTACAGCTAACTGTAAATTAATTTGTTTTTATGTACAGCATTTTTGATTCATGCATTAGTTCAGTGGTTCCCAACCTGGGATCCCCGGACCCCAAGGGTCCGCATAGGTAATACCATCTCATTAAACAAGTAAGTTTTTTAATACTGATGTTTTTTTAATTGCACACTCAGTTATATATGTCTTTTATTTGATAGTAAAAAGTGGGAGAACGAGTTAATTATTAATTAATAAAAACAGTTTGTTGGGTAGGCGGAATCTTTCAAAAACATGGGGTCCATGGGGGAAAAAATGATAATAAAAGGGGTCCTTGGTGGAGAAAAGGTTGGGAACCACTGCATTAGTTTATCACTACACAAATGCAAAAAGTAAGAGATACAAGATATTTGTTAACAACATGCATACACAGTCATTAAATGATGAAATATCATAGTGTAATAAGGTGTATGGAGAGTTAAAAATGGATAAAAAGATCAAATAACTGGAGTTATTCACATGCTCATAATGGACTTACAAAAACAAAAATATTATTATGTAATAAGCATGCAATATTAGTGTATTAGATTCTAATCAAATAAAAAACTTAATAAAACAAAACAAAAAGTGAAGTTTCAGTTAGTAATACTAGAGGTGCATACACGATTTTGAGAAGCATGCACCTTACCTAAACCTTCCACTTTTCCGTAGATGTGAAAACATCTCGCCACCTTGTACATACTCTAGAACCATGTATAAATTGGAATTGTCCTGAAAAGGTACATAAGAAAAGTTGTTACTCCGTAGCTACAAAATATCTTACCTAAATTTTCCTAGCCGTCTCAGATGAGAAAACATATCTCCACCAGGAACATATTCTAAAGCCATATACACATTGGTATTATCCTGAAAAGTTATTTGTTGTTAGTAAAAAAAATAAATACATTATATTTATCTGTATTGTGTAAACGTAGACTTGTGTTAAGTAAATGTTACTTGTAAAGAAAAAAAAAACATACCTTGTTCAACTTCTTTTGCAGAAATGCTTGATATTACACAAGAACACAATTAAAGGCCAAAGAATATTTTGTTCTTACGTGAAAAATATCACCCTGTATGGAAATATGCAAGTGATTTGTTAACTAGGGCATCCATCTTTTTTTTTTTTGAAGGTTAGCATGTGCAAAGTGCAAACAATGTATTACATAATGTTTTGTAAATGCACAACATCTTTGATTGGCAGGTATTTATTAGCATTTTTGATCTATTCAGATTCAATTGCTATTTTTATATACGCGAGCTTATTCATTGCCAATTCTACATTTCATTTAAAAAAACGTACACAATGGTATGGTATTACCAAAATACCAACACCCTGGACATAGTTAATACCATTTAACATTGAAACTTATTCCATTTCTAGCATTGTAAGCCTGCAAACATACTGCTGTGCCACTGGGAGGCAATATTCCATTTATAAAGCAGCTTTTAGTACAGGATATATAAAGGACCACCAAAGGTTATATGATAAATACTAACACCAATTTTTTAAATACAATTTTAAGTATAAGAAAACAATCTCCCCCCCTCCCCCAGTTTAATAAATTAGGACAATATCAGTGTAATAGCTGAAGACTTTATATTCATATATTAAAATGAAATAAAATCAAGATATTTTAATGTGAAAAAAATATATATACTTTGAAAATAATAAACCAGTAAATCATCACATATCTCTGAATACTGCAGCAATGTTGTAAATAAAATGATTCTAGTGCCAGGTCAGCAGAATGAAAATCCTTGGAGAAGTAAACTATTATTAATAGACATAATGATGAAGATGGTCAAAAACAAAGCCATTTCGATTGAATACAGACTAATCTTCAAAAACCTACATTATCTCACTCACTCACAACACATCATACTGTGTATTCCCATCTCTAGAAAAGTGCAGTTGAACGTATGCAATGTTGAAAGTGAATAATTAAAACATTGTATTCATTCTGTTTCAGATCTAAACAAATACAGTACATGGTATGACAGTTACAAGTGAAACTTGAAACATTTCGAGCTGTTATCAACAAAATAAAAATATTTCCTTTATTTTCAACTTTTGACACATCGTTGTTTTACTATTGATAACAAAAAGCCTTAAAATCAATATTTCCTCATTTGCTTTTACCTGATAATTCCTATACCATAGAGAAGCTATGAAATGACTATCTTTGAAGAAAGAACTGTGCAAAAAATTGAACTGAAAGTACAAAGATGCAATTCAATATTAAGTTTTTGCTCAAGGCAGTAATTCTTGTGAAGTTATAGTTCTTTTGTTCTTATATTTGGATTAGAATAATAATCAACTGACTTAGCACTAATTATAGAAATGGAAACAAAGTAATCATAATAATTACACAATGTAAATGCTGGGATAAAGGGAAAGCAAATTAATATGTTTACTTCTATTAGTCTAGATTAAAAAATTAGTTAATTTCTTGTAGTTTAGCCAAGTATCTTTTTTAATAAACTTGAAAAAAAAGCCAAATTATATACCATACTAGCTTTCAAAAATACTAAAATACACAAGTCAACAAACTGAAAATTACTATCTAAGTATTAAGGATTATTCTTGAATTTCTAAACTACAGTGAAATGCTTAAAAAAATCTGTAAAACTCCTTGAAAAGTGAAATAATGATTTAAGTACTGGACTGATATATATATAGAGAGAGGTATTTATACTGTAGTAAGAGAAATATTTTGTTTCTTTTGGTACCAAAGAAACTATCATGACTCTTCACCTGTTATATCAATAAACTGTAGGCAGTAGTAACAATAAGTGTTTTCACCAGGTAGAAAGAATGTTTACAGGTTGTATCCAAAAACAGAAGGTGGGGAGGGGGGGGGGGAGATCTCTATGCAATTCACAAATCTCTCAAATGTATCTAGTTTTCTTTTGTTTGTGTAATACAAAGTCTTTACTTTGGCTTCTATCCAAATTATGACATTAGGGCTAGTGGAAACACTACTTGGCAATGAACAAAATAATATGTCAATACCAATTACAATAAACAGGTTACTTTCAAAAAATAGATAGTGACATGTAATCAATAATCACAATAAAAAAAGAAATTCAGATCCTTTTCAACTTCACTCATTTCTATACACTATGTCGAAGAAATGGTATGAAATGGGAGCAATGATAAGTTTACAAACTTCCCTGTTAAAAATATATTAATTTCATAACAGCAAACAAAATTTAGTACCACAACCCATTCAGTTTGTTTTCAGTTAAGTGTAAACAATTCTTTACCAAATGATCTTCTTATGACAGAAATGGCTCACCACAAACAATGAGCACAAACTTATTGGTTCTGAGCCAACTATGAATTACTCTCTACATGTATAATCAAGTTTTCTTTTAAATGTGTTAGGTCATCAAGAAATTAATGTCGTGTTTTGGAACACTTTCATTACCCACCCCCCACAAAACGTACGTTATGTATAATGGTTAAACGACCCCCCTACACCGCCACAAAGAATATCAAAGAAGTATATGGACATGTTTTGAACGGTTGTAAGTGTCAACAATAGTTCAGCAAATTTTGTGAAATGGACCTGAAACTGCATGAAGCAATATGTAAACATCTAAGGAATGTGGGAAAACTCCATAAAGAAGGTGTTTGGGTGCCTCACAAACTCTCCGATGATCATTGTTTCCAACGTGTCATTGTTACTTTGTCTCTTCTGGCACGTAATGCGCATGAACCATTTTTGGACAGAACTGTCACCAGTGATGGAAAATGGATTCTCTATGTGCATATTAAATGTCAAAAACAATAGCTCAGTCCTAGACAAAAACCACTTCCGACCCCAAAACCTGGACTTCATCCGCAGAAAGTGATGCTTTGCATTTGGTGGGACATCAAAGGAGTAATTCATTTCGAACTCCTCAATCCACAGCGAACTGTCAATGCAGAGATCCACAGTCAGCAACTGGAACATCTAAATTGAGCCCTTCATCAGAAACTCCCTTCACTTGTCAATCAGAAATATGTTCTTCTCAATGACAATGCACGTCCATATGTGGCACGTTTGATGCAACACAAGATTATGGAGTTGGGTTGGGAAGTTCTTCCCGAGCCACCATAATCTCCAGATATGGCACCATCAGATTACCATATTTTTTGTTTGCTGCAACATGATCTTAATGGGAAAATGTATGCAAATGTGAAAGGTGTTAAAGAGGAGATTGACAAAGCTTCAAAGCCAAGTGATTTTTTAATCAGGGCATTAACAACCTGATTGTAAGATGGAAAAGCATCAACAATAAGAATGAAGACTATTTCGTTTAATAAATGTTTAGTTTTGATATACAAGTTGTTCAGGTTTTTTTTCATCTAAAAAGAAGCAACATTAATTTCTTGATGACCTAATGGTTAATCTCTTGTAAGACTACTATTGTTATTTATAATACCGAACTTTTGAAAATTAATATAAATACAAATAATTCAATAAAAAACTTATAAAACAATTATACATATATTAGGGATATTACCACGTGTAATTACTGAATTAGCCAAAGCAATTGAAATAACAACAACTAAAAACTAAAATATTCAAAACTAGGATAGTCTAGAATATTCAATTATTCTATTCTAGAATAATTGAATATTCTGAGCTCCTTATTTTATGAGTGCAATTTTCTTTAAAATTAAGTAAACCAATCAATGCCTGCTATATATTTCCTTGTTCATCAAGGACTTAAACAAAAACTATAAAACTCACATATAAGCCATTTTATAGTGACTACTTCTGCTACTCACAACTATAATTTCCAACATATTGTTTTTAGCTTATCAAGGTCCACTCACCTTAAAATGGTAGTACAATTTCACCAGGAATGGAAAATCAACAGCTTGAAGGATTCTTTTTTCATTTAGTGTATGTTCAACTTGTTTAAGTTTAACAACCTTACAAAATATAAAAGCATAATGAACATTTGAAGAATAGTTCTTAATATAAACTAGAAGCCTGTCATATAAAAACAAGTAAGTATGCCATTCTGCCAAATCATAATCCTAAAACTAGGGATCCAATTCTATAATTATTACTTATAGCTCAAATTAGTATTTTTGAAAGGTCCATAGATATTCATATGATTTCTTTATCAATGTGAACGGTAAAACATTTGACTATATTACATAATAAAAATAAAATGGTAAATAAAAACAAATTACAGTTTTGCCTAGCAGTGAATATTTTTAACTTAGGCGAAGACTAATTGTTTTTCATATACCCTACTTGATATTTTAGGCAATTTTATAAGCAGCATAAGGAATCGAAATTAAACTACTCAGTTAATAAGTGGAATATATAATCTAGCTTTTATTTATTAGCTCTTGTTGATACACTTGAATATAATATATATATATATATATATATAATATAATTACAATGTAGAGAATGAGTATTACATTAACAATCAAGATTAATCAGTGAATAAAACAGCTTTTTAAAACTTATCTTGTCATACTCTTCAAAATGAGCAGAAAATTTAATACCTTAACAACTATCAGATAAATAATACCAAACTTGCCCTAAAAAGGAAAAGTTCTGCTACTAAAAAATAAATTCTTAGGTATCAAAATTATTATTTGTTTTTTGAATTATTAACCAAGCTATACATGAACAGATGTTTTTGCCTTAGCTATGCATATAATGCACCCCAGTTTCTCTGACAATCACTGGTTTACTTCTGCAGATGTGTATCACTGTTTACCCATGATTACCTTCAAACCAAAATATCAAGATCAAACTATGCTTTCACTTCTACAAGACATTTCCCCATCATACCATAGATATCAAAGCAGTGAATGTTGGAGAAGTCCAATAATTTATCCAAGTAACTTTTGAATACTAGCTGCACGTAAAGTACAAGTTGCATGTACTTACAGCGTATATTAAGATGAATAAATTATACAATCAAGAGCACTAGGTCAAAAAATGTTGTGTAAGTTACAAAATATGAATAAATACAAAGCTGCAAAGCAAAGGATTCTATTGTAAAATTTTAAGCAACTTGTTTTATTAGCTTTGAAATCACATAACAAAAAATACAACATTATAAACAAAATTAACAATAAAAATATGTTAATTTCAGGGAATAAACACCCCACCACAGTAATGGGGTTAATCAAAATAAAAATATCTAAAACTTAAATAATGATCAGATTTTTTTGATCCAAGTATTCAGGTAATTTTAATTGCTTTTTTTTCCAGATAACTTGTACTCACTTTGAGGGAAATCCTTTAGTATAAAAATATTAAAACTAATACAGTAATTCAAGCTTAAAATTTATTATTTTAGTCACCAGATAAAACTTTTATGGTAAAACTAATACCTGTTGTTTCTCAAGTATTTTCATGGCGTGATACTCTTTGGTTGATTTATGATAGACTAGCATAACTCTTCCAAATGAGCCTGTTCCTAGTGTCTTTAATCTTTCAAAGTCCTCTAGATCTGCAGTGTTCTATAGAATGGAAAAAAAAAAAGCATTTAATCATAACAAACACAAAGCAGGTAAAATAGTGAAAATACTAAATGATGTCCAAAATATAAACAAGTATGTACACTGACACTGATAAACATTTATCTTTCATTTAATTGAATCTATTGCGATTCAAATTAATGATGGCAGTGTTTGTAATTTTTTCCCCACTATTTTATACACTGTAATGATTTGCAATCATGTTCATTTCCAAAGGGCTCTTGAAAACTGAAAGTTCATTTTACCAACTGACCAAAAGTAACATTTTCTCAAATCAAAAATGTATTTCCAATAATACTTACCTCCTCTCACACTACAGCTATTACTCGATTGCCAGGGTTTCGTTTCTTTGCCCATCTAAGCACTGGTCTGAATTTTTCTCGCTTGCTCCAGTCTTTTATTCCCTCTTAATTGCCCTTGGCAATATCTGTCATGTGATGCTCTCCACCTACATCAATGCACTCTCTATCCTGGTACTGTATATATGTACCTCGTTCAGATAATATTATCACTTTTTCGAGACTGATCCATAGTCTCTAACACCAGTTCATACTGGGGAGGAAAGGTGGGAGAGTGTCAGAAGAGATAAGTATTATTGGAAATACATTTTTGATTTAAGAAAATGTTAACTTCCTAAACATACTTACCTCCTCTCACACTACAGCTAGAATCCCACACTGATAAGGGGAAGGAGCTGGTGAGGCATTGTCCATACAGAAAGCATATGCAGAGATCGTGGGTGTACCAACAGAAGATTAGCACCCTAGTGGGGGAACTGCACTACATCCAGAACAGGTATGCTCATCACTATTGGCCAGGCCCCAACCAGGTAGCTGAGGTTCCACTGCACAGGGTTGGAATTATAGGGCTATGGTCCCGAAATCCCACTTTGGTGGCTAGGGTATTTGGACTGCAATATATATATATATATATATATATATATATAT